CTCTCTCTCTCTCTCTCTCTCTCTCTCTCTCTCTTTCTCTCTCTCTCTCTCTCTCTCTCTCTCTTATTAACACAAATGCACCCATTTTATTTCTTCTACTTTCTTTATCCTTCATTTAGTTAATGGCACCTTGATTAACACCCTTCTCCCTCGACTTAACTCCCTTCCCCCCCATGAACTCACGGCGGTGATCCTTTATTTAGTTTGCAAAAGCCAGACTCTCAAAGACCTGCCCCCAGAACAAAACAATCTTTTTTCGATGAGGATGATGATGACGATGACAACATCTTCCGGTAAATTAAAACCGTGTGAAGCAAAAATTGCTATTAGTTTAGGCTTGCTGTTTTCTCATGGATTAACATTACTGGAATGGTGGCAGTAAAGGTCTGTGATAATTATGATGTTCCTTCGTGGATTTGTGAGTTTTTTTGCTGTGGGCAGATGGAATGAACACTTCAGCATTTCAGCAATTTGCTAGGCACTTTTGAAGGGCTCTTTAACTTTCTGACTACCATTCACTCATTGTGAAAGCAGAGCACCATTTTCACTGAGTAGAACACAGCTGTGTAGTATTTCTTACTCAGATCACAATTCAAAAAGTTTTGTAAGCTTTAAGAACACACAAACACACTCGATAAAAACTTTTTTTTTTTACCAATGTTGTCACATAGGCAATAATAGGAACATTGAAACCTCATTGTCACATTCATGCGACTTAGTTCGTATTTTTAAAAAAAACATCTTGTCTCCCTTACTCTGTCTTCAAAAGAGAACAGAAAATAATACGAAGAAAGTAAACTGGAAATTTTAACAAATCTAGGTTAGATTAGAGGTTTATCAAGCCACAGCGTGATAAGGAATGAATTCCCACTACTTTTTAATTCCTGCTCTTGATTCCATGCCATTTCAAATGATTAATACTTATAGTTCTTTGGTTGAATGGTTTTACTCAGAGTCACAGTGTTCTCAGCAAGATCATGAGACCAGACAGTTTTATCTTGAATGGTTTTTCCCGGAGTGTTCTCTATAATTCAATAGATCTGTAAAACTGCCACTTGTTGACTTGTTTCTTTGACTAATGGTCACCAAGAAAGTTGGGAAAAATTTTGTGTCTTGAGCTTTTTTCCCCTCCAAAAGCCCTTCTCAAACTGTACTCTCTAACGCATGATGTATTGTCCACTTAAAGAGCACAAAACACATTGTTTTGTTTTTATTTAACATTCCAATTTGGGGTGCTGTTGTAATGCTTACTAAGAGAATTATTTAAATAACATAATGTTTTATTTTCTCATTTCATATTCCATTTTTGTTCTTTTTTTTCATTTTACTTGAAAGTAGAATTAGGTTTTTATTTTACCCTTTTCGAAGATTATACAGTATATTATGTAGATTCATAGTGGTTTCATTACCCCCCCATTACATTTACACATATAATAATGATATACACTTAGGTGATATTCAATCCAGCTTCCTACTGTTTACATTATAATAGACATGTCTTAGGAAAGATCTGCTGAAATTAGCTGTAACGCAAAGGAAAAAGTCGTAGTAACAGGGAAAAGGTAGACGTCCATTACCAGAATTATGGCTTTTATCAGTTTCGCTGCTGTCTTTAGACTTGAACTGTTCCATCTTTTCTCTTTCTATTATTGGCCACAGTAGCACAGTAGGCTATGAGGGAAAACACTTTATACATGGGGGGGGGGGGGGGGGGGGGTTTTGGGTTTAAAAAGAACCCGCTGTTTTAAGCCGCAGCCACCTAAAAAACATTAATCCTGGAGTTTTCTCCCCCCCCCTTCCCTCCCTCCCTCCCTTTCTCTCTCTCTTTCTCTCTCTCTCTCTCTCTCTCTCTCTCTCTCTCTCTCTCTCTCTCTCTCTCTCTCTCTCTCTCTCTCTCTCTCTCTCTCTCTCACCTACTTTCCTTCTTTCCTTCCCCTCCTCCCTTTACATTTAATTATGTAACCATCACTTCATACTTAATACTTTCTTCATTAACCATGTAGCTTTATGTAAATGTTCAAGCTGCAAATGTTTCCTTTTTCTCCTTGGTTATGATGTGATCAGCATGATCAGTCTACACAGCTATAGTGTCAGAACAAGATTTAGTTTAGTTTTATTAAGAGTTTTGCGGCACTTGCAACACATTTAGTTCATATAAGTGCCGAAGATGGAAGGTATTACTAGGAAGTAACATACAAAGAAGAGAAGGAGGTCAGATAATGACAATGAATTTTTTATAGAAAAGAAGGAGCAAACGAAACCAGAGCAACCGCCGCCCACCCTCTTAGAACAAGAGCAATGAGTGAATTTACGATATTTTTTTTAATCACTCCCGTCTCACGGCTGCTATCCCTGCCGGTTTGACTTCTTTTTTTGTTTACGCATGCTTTTTGTCATCATTGGGGGGGGGAGGGGGGGGGGGGGCAAGATGAAACAACTCATTTGTGACTTTTTAAAATGTCAAAATCGTGTTCAAGTAACTAAAAAGCTACAAAATAACACTCTTTATGAGACGGGAGTAATTCTATAAAATTACTGAATTTGCTTTGTGAATTTATTTGTGTTGAAAATTTAACTCATGTGTGACTCTGTGTGGAGCGGCACTAGTGTGGGCCTCTTCTGCTCTGTCCCTCTGCTTCTTGTGGACTGCTTCTTGATTTCTTGCTTTTTCTCAGCACACCACAACCAGGTCTCTGTCTCTTTGGTGATGTTGATTTTGTGTTAACTTGAAAAAATGGCCTTCGTCTAGATGCTCAAAAAGCACATAGGAGGTCCAGTATTTTATCTTATTTTATTTAATTCTGATTCATTTTGTTAGATTTTCATTTTTTTTCTTCTAGTGTTTGCTTTTATTTTGTGGAGAACAAGATGTACTTATCAGTGATTGGAGGACACCACAGTTAGATGTTACTTCTTTTCTTTTTCTAAATTCTCTCATTATTCTTGTCTGTTTTGTTTTTTCCTTAAATGCTCTAAATGACTGGCATTGTGTATTTAATATTAATACCGTGATGTGCATCTCTTTACTCAATCAAAATAAGATTATTTTGAGGGGTTGAGAGGATTTGTAAATAGAACAATATAAATAAAAGTGAAAATGTATCATTATTTCTTTTGCATTATGTGTCTCTTTGGCCTTTAAATTAATGGAATATGTGCTGTTTAGTTAGAAAACTGAATAAGATGAGTCCTGCCAAGTGTTTTCTAGTTCTAGTAGTGTTGGAAGTGTTTACATTAGTATCAAGCAAGAGAAAAATGTTTGGATATTGCATATTATGAAAATCCTATCCAATTAAAGATCGCAAAAATTCAAAATTTACTTTAATATTGATTTCCTGACTCCCTAACGTCTTATATGGCAAAGATGAAATGTACAAATGGATGATGGTTTGTAAGTATTTGAACATTCAACTTTTCCCTGATTCATTCCTATATATATCTGCTTTTAATACCTTATTTACAAAAGTTGAGAAAGACTGTTCTTTTTAATTTTGTTTTCTTTCACTTTATTGTTTCTGTCTATCCATCTTGCCTCTTCCCTGCTTTAAATCACTTTTATCATGTAAAATTGCTTCTTTTTGCTAAAATTGGCTGTTTTTAGATGCTATTTCAGTGTAGTTCCTGAGTATCATAATGCAGGCTTTTTCTCAGCATCTGTTTTGATTCTCTGCGCTGATTGCCTTCCCTGTGAACAGAGGGAAGTGATGTCAATCAGCTTTAGTTTTCTTTAATGCAGGCTCTTTTCTGACATATGTGTGCTTTTCATGTTCAGCCCTCTGTGGTCATTGTAATTCTTTTTTTTTAAATGGTTTTAAATCAAAAGTTGTGCATATATTAAGAAATCAGGTGATAGTCTGTGGGTGCAGAAATGAGTAATTTCCACAATATGTACCTAGGTATAATTCATAAAATTTGTTTATATTTTCTTACTTTCATTTGGGGGATTCGTTGCTTTGTAGAGATGTGCAATATTTTTTTTAAGCTTCCTTGTAGATTTGATTATGAAAGAATTGTTTAATCTTTACGTCAACCCATTTATGCAGCCTATTCAATTTCTCCACCACCTTCCCTAACTGGTGCAACTTCTGATGGATCACAAACTTTTTATTTATCCCCAGTGAAAGGCTGAAACAGGGTAGCCCGGACAGGGACAGTGATTCTGACAATGGTATGTTCTTTTTTCTCCTCTGGTGAACAGTGGTGGTATTATCAAGCTCTGTTCCAAACATAGGACTATAAAAAGGTTTTACTCCAGTCTGCGATTTATAGGAGTTCGGCTGATTTTAATGCTTGACTGCGATTGGAATGAACGAGGTTGACCCCAACATTGTTCTTGAATTTGGGTTGTTTAGGGAGTTTTCATGAGCCACTGTTTTCCTGTTCTGTCAGATATTGACACTGATTTCAGAGATTTCACCTTGTTTATAATTTAAATTTTACTGTTTTGAAAAGTGTATTTGCTATCAAACATCTATCGTCCTTATCTCTCCTCCTTCTTTTTTCTGTTCGTTACTCTCTTGTAACACTTCTAATCTTCGGCACTTATATGACCTTATTGTGTTGCAAGTGCCATAAAACTCTTACTTAAACTTTTAAAAATAAGTACCGTTCATATTATAGTCTTCTATTGTTATAATCAGTCCAAGCCCTCTTGTCTATGCGTCTCGTCTTTTATTTGGTTTTAGTTTTTTGGAAAAGGATTTATGAGGATTATTTACTGTCTAAAAATAGCCTTTTCAAACTAATGACTTGAAATATATTGCTGTTTTGTTTTCCTGATATTTTATGTGGTTCAAGGAATTAAACCTTCCCAGTTTCAACAGGAAAAGTTTCATTCTTTTGTGTCGCAGCCACTTTATCTGTCATAATTTGAGTTGCTATTTGAGCTGTGCATCTTGTTTTCTATATCAACACATTTTTCAACTCCTTCACAAATGAGCTCTACTTCCTGTTTACATTTTTCTTTCTGAAAATGTATAGGTGTATGGCCTTTACTCGCTTGATTTGCCTGTTCTAAACTATTCTAAAGCATTTCCCAACAGAATGTGGTGAAATCATATAAGTTTTCCTGATGTAACAGTCTGTATGTTATCAACACTTAGAGGGTTAAAGCTGAACCATTCCACACAATTTTTCCTGATGTAACAGTCTGTTTGTTATCAACACTTAGAGGGTTAAAGCTGAACCATTCCACACAATTTTTCCTGATGTAACAGTCTGTATGTTATCAACACTTAGAGGGTTAAAGTTGAACCATTCCACACAATTTTTCCTGATGTAACAGTCTGTTTGTTATCAACACTTTGAGGGTTAAACTGAACCATTCCACACAATTTTTCCTGATGTAACAGTCTATTTGTTATCAACACTGAGAGGGTTAAAGCTGAACCATTCCACAGTGACAACCAGTCACTCATTTACTTGCATCGTTACTTCTTTGAATGCATCACTTCTCATGATCTATTCCTTTTTGTTTCTCTCAGACATTCCAGTCATCCCAGAACTGGAGGAACAGACAGAAGAGGACTTGACCTCAAAAGTTGCATCAGCTCCCAAGTAAGCCTTCTTTGAAAACTAGAGATATTTACTTTTGATTTAATATTTTGAACAGAGGTGTTGAATTTCTGATTAAATCTGGTAATCCGGATTCCTGATGTTGTTTGGGTTTTTCCCGACTTCTGGCTGATTGTTGAGATGTTATTGCTCTTTGTATAAAGATTGTCGTGATACAGATGTATTAGACTAAAGCTATCTGCTTGTATGTGTGTGTAGTGTGTGTGTGTGTGTGTGTGTGTGTGTATGTATGTATGTGTGTGTGTGATTTCTCTTAATCACTCTGAATTCTCGTTTTCCTCTCAGCGTTGCTGTTAACCGAGTGGCAACCTACAGAGAGCTAGACAATGATCTTCTCAAACAGGCTGCTTTCCTTACTCTGGTAAGTCACCCACCTCACAGATGTAAACCCTGCTCCATTAAAACAGACTACATTATAGCACACACATAGCAAACACACATATAGTGAAATATACACACATAATGGACAGATTTGCACGTCCCAAATATTTTCTTATACACGCTTCTTCTTTGTTTTTAAAACATGTACATTGCAAAATTCGTACATAACAAAAAGATTTCTGTGTCCCGCCAAATTCGCTATGTGCTTGCAGGACCGAATAGCATTTGTGCTATATGGTGATAATTGTGCATGAGGCTAATTAAGCTTCTGCATGCCGTAAAATGTGGGTCGCAGTGAGTACAAAGAAAGTATTTATAAAAGGCTAATGGGGACAGTGCGTGCCATAGTATATATCAGTAGCAGTGAGTACAAGAAAATTGGTGGCCTGTGTTTACACTTCTAATGTCTCTTTTGGTGTTTTGGGTAGATTCTATACTTCCACTGATAAGTCTTTCTCTTTGATCTTGAAAATTAGTCTTGACTTTCTTGTTCTTTTTGCAGTAGCTTTCTACCATCAATCCCCTAGCTCTGCTGTTGATCTTAGTTGGGGTCTCACCCTTCTTTCAGACATCATAGAAGAGTGTGAACTTAAGTCCTCCTTTCTTTACTTGTGAACATCTTTTGGTATTCTTTTCGAGGATGACAAACTAAGTTTACTGTTTACTAAGGAGATCGCTGTGTTTATTTCTTCTGTTGCTTTATACTTTTTTGGATATATGATATAAATTGATACTTGTTTAACAGCTTCAACAATATTGTTCATTAATAGATCATCCTACTACATGGCTTTCTTCAGCCTTAGTCATAATTGTGAAATAGTCGGTCCATAGAATTCTAAAAGGGTTTGATATCTCCTTTTTTTAACCTTTTTAAACCATAGATGGCATTTTTTTTTTTCAGATAGGGGAACCTCAATGGCAATAATCTGTTTTACTGAAGCATAAGCTCTATCTCAAAGCTGAAAAACAAGCAGAAGAAATTTTGACTTTATTTTGTCTGTCACTGCAGGACAATGAGGTTGATCTCAAACTACTGACCAAGACTCTGTCTCCTTTGGATGACCTGATTGAGGTATGTCGTTTTAGTTAATAGATATTGGTGTTTGTAATTTCCATTCCTTTGAAGGAAAATTTGAATGTCAGAATGGTATAAGTTCAACAGTTGTTTTTATGTGTCTCCTCTTTTTTTTCAGTTTGAAATTACTACTGCCTAGTGCTTGCTGTTTTCTTTAAATTCTTTTTTTAAGCGTATCCGTACGTCGTGTTTTGCTATCGTATCCTTATGACATGGGGAACTCTGTGCCACCACTTTCCAAAGAGGAAATTTACTCATTAATCCGATCCGTACGCTTTGCATAGCAGTCTGTCAAAATGATATTTTGAGAAATACTGAAAATTTTGAAGAGATCTTCGCACTAGAAGTATTCTAAAATGTGAAGAATACAACCCCTGGGGTACAAAACGACCCCAGGCGTACGGATAGGGTTAAAAAATGTTTGTGACATACGCTAGACATAAACTTATCAGTTTAGTTTTCTTTGTTTTGTTTTATATTTTTGTGTGTATTTTAGGACAGAAACTACAACACTTTCACAAAAACAGCAAAAATATTGTTTTGGCTAGTTTGGCTTTAAAAATGTTTTAGTCCCCAAAATTTGTCATTTTTTGAAAAGTTATAAAACATTAACAAAATAAAATAGAATCAAAATTCCTTCTGTTCTGTAAAGCTCAACGTCTCCAATTGAAACTGGCCAATTTTCATAAATCTAACATAAATAGGTACAGAGTAACTGGATTTTGAAAAAGGTTAAGAAAAACTGTCAGGCAGCGGCTTTTCCTGTGCTAAGGCGCCAGCAGCGAATGAGTTAAAGCTTATTCATTTACCTTGCTTTTGGTGAAAAAATACCTATTTATCTTAAATAGAAGTCGAAGTACTTGCAGTTGAAGGAGGTGGGGGGTTGCCTTGTGCCAGAAGTGGTGCTAGAAGTAAAATTATCTAGAAAATGGCCGCCAAAGTTTGTTCACTTCCAAAGCTTGAGTGTCCTTGAAAACTGCAAGTTTACATTTTTTTTGTGCGCGTGATCAATGTTTTCAGTAAAATTTACTCAGAAATGTTTTGTAATGGACATTAAAGGTGTTGAGCCAAAAAGAAGATTTCTTTTTTATTTGCCTAACAGTCAGAAAACAACGGTTTCTTTTATTTGATTATATTGACTAATACTGTATTTATTTACCTACTTTACATGTTATAATGACACTGTCCAAGATGACCGCCTTTGTAAGATGACTATTTTTCTCCTCGACATCAGGTGGCCGTTTTGGACAGGTACAAATGTGCTTTACAATCATTTACATTTTTTTCTCCGCCAGGATGACAAGCCTTGGGACTGGGACCGACTCTTCACAGAAGTCTCATCAGAATTGAGGACAGAATGGGAGAAAACAAGACCGGGTGAAGAGGAAGTGGAAGCTGAACAATAGGAATGTTTCGTTTTGGTTTTTTTTTAGAAACTGTTCTATTTAAAGGGAAATGTGAGGGTTTACATTCCATCGAAACAAATTTCCCTATAATTTCAGGTCATCAGTGTCCGTCCACTTGATCATGTTTAAAGCGTATCACTTTTGTATATGTCGGTTGTGATTTCTTGTTTGTGCTTAATGTGTAAATAAATCATTTCTTACTTTATGACCTTCTCTTTTTTATTTGTTCATTTATACATATAAAATTCATGGCTAAGTGATTCCACTTTTGTGTACCTTAATCTCCCTGTAGCGCTTTCTTCAGGACCAGTGATGAGAAGATTTGCTTTGAAAACTCCTGTTAACTCATTTGCTGTCATTTAACTTTATGGCTCAAGGCCAAAAGAATGCCAGGCATTTTGGCAGCTATTTAAAAAAACATTGTGACCAAATTATTCACCGCCCAAAAATGAGAGTTTCACTGCACAATGCAAAAGGAAATTTTAAGATATCTTGAATGATCATTTTATTTTTTTAATGACTTTTTACAAGTTTGTCAAAATTTGGAACTTTTTTTTTTTTTTTTAAATTAACTACTAGTACTATGTCTTGATCTTGATTGCTAAGTCAACTGTCACTAATATCTACAGCCTTTCACTAGTCTCTACTAAACTTTGAAACAGCTACATAGCTTGGGTCAGCATCGCTGTCAACTTCTTTAGCACAAGAAAAGTCTAGATCTGACCGGGCCTACTGACATGTTATGGGTCCATCAGTTCGAACCGAAAAAAAAAAAAAAGAGATATATAAACTCAAACAATGCTCGACCAACTCATAAGAGATAGCAGCTACATGAGTACCCTCGAAGACCAGCCCCGAAACACATCGGGTAATAGTAAGGGGGGGGGGGGGAAGGAAACTTGAAGCCACGGGTTTTCAGCAATAGCACTACCCCATCTATCGATTGAACCATAAACTCTTTGGATCTGGCAGCGAGTGAGTTGAGCAAATCTGTCCATTCTGTGTCTAATCTCTGTTCTCCAAATAAAATTTAACCCATTCTCTGTGTACTTAAGAACAAAAACTATTCCAATCTTTGTGATGTATACACTTTAGCGAAGTGTAGAGTCAGCAGCCATGGTCCTGACTGATTTGTCAGCCATAGGATATCGGATCACTGAATTGTTCAAGATGTTTACCACTAATTCAGCACCGGCATTTTTAGTGTAGCAGTTAGACCCTTCGTTATTGCTCGCAGGAGACCTGGGTACATTTTCCGAGTGGGGAGAACATTTTTTTCAAGTATCACAGTCTTTCTGCTGAGGTTGTTGAAATCCTCTTAGCCTGAAACTACTAAACGATCTGAACTGTGGCGATGTAGGTGTATAAACACCTTCATTAAAAATAAAACAATTCAGCAACAGATTTGGTATACACATGGATCTCCCAGTCGCATATCGCACCCCAAGAATGACAAAATTCTCTCTCCAACTTTTGGTGGCACTGAGTCATACTCAGCAAACAGCTACTATAGGTGGAGCCTGTGTAATGATCGTGGCACTAGCATGATTTGTTGATCAGAAAGACAGAACCAGCATCTGTGGTGTAGCAGTTAGGCGCTTCGCTATCACATGCACAGAACTGAGTTCAATCTCGAGTGAGGAGGAAATTTCTATCCAGAATCTCAGTTTTTCTGTTGGGATATTGTATCCCTTTCAACCCAGGTTGGCCCTGAATGGGCAGGGTCAAAGGCCGTCTCCGAAATGATTTAATGTGTGTCACAGGGGGTATGAAAAACACATAATTTTTTTTTATTTCAGAAATATAAATGCAAAGCCATTCATTTTTAGTATAAACAACTCAAACAACTGAACAACATCTCATTTATTTTTTGTACACTTTATTCTTCGCATTATGTACACCTTGTGTGTACATATCAACTGTTTCATTTTGTATGACTATTATTCAAAGATATAACTGAGTGGCATTAGTTATAATAAAACCTAAAGAAAAAAATAACATGTATATATTTATATTTTGCTAGAATAAAAACACATACTTCGATCACTGTAATCATGATGTTAATTTTATAATCAAACTTATACTTCTGTGCAAGGTTTCTTACTATAAACCCATCCTTGGTAAATTTTTAATATATCATACACACAAAGTAATTATACATCCACTTTCATTTTGATTTTAAATAAAATCAAAGCCATATTTGAGAGCATGTGCGACGGCAAACGTCAGCAAATTTTCTGTGACTTGTAGACATTTCAAAATTATATTTACAACTGGTATGCCAGGGAGCGTATCCACCACTTGTCCTGACATTTTGCAAGCAATGTTAACCTGAGGGACTTGCTGGTCTGGTTGGTTTGTGATAACCACCAGTGATGCAGTTACACTGAAAGAAACAGGACATGCAAAATAAAAAATACTTCTAAGACCTCAAAACAATACCAGTACCACTGTATCTGTGAACTGTTGTTTTATTTGGGGGGGCGGTTTTTCCCCTCACAAAAATTTCTCAAAATCTTCTTCTAATCTACCCAAATTTTTGTAGAATTTAATCTGCTCCTGTTGAAGAGTAAATATTTTACTTTTAAGCTTTAATCTATGTCATGTACGTTTAATGAAGAAAAAGCAAAACTCAAGACCTTATGTGTATTTTCATTGCAGCCACAAAGGGAATACGACTAGAAAAGGAATGGCCAGAGTTTTGTCGGAAGGAAACTTCGGAAAAGAAAGGATGAAAAATTTTTAGATGTGCTTCATGTGAGGGCATCAAAGTTTTTTTTACACCTTAAAGAGTCAAGGAACAGAATACGGTAAACTCTACATAAAAACCACAAAACAATTATACAAACACTGAAATTCAACTTTCAAACAAAGGAACATTTCTATAAAGCCATGCACAGCTGGCCATCAGTATCTCAGAAGCTGGCCTTTTGATTTAAAAAGATAAAAGTCGACTTCAGTTCTACCAAAATATTTGTAAAATACTTCACTTTATTTGACATCAAAAAGTTTACTCTGAAGTTGTTGATGTCATAAACCTCTATAAAATTGGCAATAGAACAAAATGTATAACAACAAGAAAAGCTCAAACAAAACTCTGCAATTCATAAGCTTCACACTTGTCCTTGAGAATAGGTATCATTGAGTTTGGAGAAAATGGGGATTGGCGGCACCAAGGTCTTGAAATTCTGAAAAAGAAAACATCGTAAGGTAGTATAAAGCCTATGAGAATAATCCATCATTTGTATATAATATAAATATATATATATATATATATATATATATATATATATATATATATATATATATATATATATATATATATATATATATATATATATATATATAATATGTATATTGTATATTTATCTATCACCTCTTGCTTACACTGCACTTAATCAAAAGGTGACATCACAGATACCTTTGAACAGAACTTATTAAGTCCACAGAAAGTTTTACAGCATAATCAAGTCTCTGAGCAATAAGTCCTATTTAAGCAGGACATTTATATATATTTTAAAAAACTATTTTCTCATCAGTGCAAAAGGGGGGGGGAAGAAAAGGGACCCCCCCCCCAAAAAAAAACCCAAAAAAACCACAACAGTTTTTATTTTTTGATTAACAACTTTTTTTTTCTTAATTCACCTGGCAGGATTTTCAAAAATAATCCTTTCTGGCATACAGAAACAGAAAATGGTAACCGCAATACAAGTCTTTTCTAAAAAAAATGTTGTACCAAAAAAACAAACTCTGAGCAACCAGTGGTATTGAGCCTTATCTTTTTTCAACATAAACTGTTCAAAAATTTCGATGCAATTAGCTTCTTTCTTCAGAAAAAAAAAGAGATATTATTAATATAGCTGCGCTACGGTGAAAACATACCCTTTTTCAATCAAGTCAAAGCTTTTTTACCTGGATACGCCTTATGGACTCCAAGTCAAATACAATTTCGTCGTTAAATAGCATGAACAATAAAGTGTGACTAGAAAAAACTGCAAGTACAAGAAAAAATAGATAATAAAATAGAACAGAATAAAATGACAGCCCTGCCCACCTGTGAAAACACATGTTTGTCCAAGAATTCCTCCCTGTAGTACTTGGTCCCATACGGTAAATGTCCATAACGTGAAGTGGAGTGCAGCAAAGGTTCGTACGGCACCGAGCGGTGCGTGAATGGCTGGAAGCTATAGATAGACACAAGAATACAAGAGAGGATAAATTTCCATAGAGAACAGAAGCGATATTTTCAAGTAATGTATACAACCACTATTATTGTATAAAGATATCATTTTTTTCTAAATATCAAAACTATCTAGTGGCTAAAAAAATATTATTATGATCACAGTAAACAAAATAATACTAATATTTCCCATTCACAGAATCACTGTAGCTTTATGCAGCATTCAAGATATGTTCAGTTGAATCTACAAAGAGTTGAGTAGAAATTTGATTCGAATGTAAGAGAATAATAACATTATAAGTCCTTAGAGCCAAACCTGCCCTACACAAAAATGATTTAACAAGTGAAAAGATTTCACCAGCACTGCATTGCACAATTAATTTTTTTCATGAATAGTGTTAATTAGAGAACATGGATATGCTGTGGTCTGTGATGATGATGATAATGGCAATGACGATGATGGTAATGATATGTTTTTTCTAGTAACATTCCTGATAGGCGAAACATTAAACTATTTTTCACACAATATCATGCTATTCTAAAAAAGTATCAAAGTCTTCAAATGTGTTCTTTTTCTACCATTCAATAATGATAATGATGATGATGACAAAGGTCAGAAACATACCTGCCTATAATAACATAGACATCAATGCTGCTATCCCACCTCTCGCGTAACCTTCTTTGTATCGATAGAGGCTTGAAAAAACAAACCACAACAACAAAATCAGAAATCTTACGTGCTGTCGTTGATCCTGGTGACCCACTCTGCATCCTTCAGTTTCTGCCTGGCTTTCTCCAGGGAGTAGAAGTCAGTGGACACACGCAGCGAGGGTTGGAAAGGCTTGTAGCGCTGCTTCTGAACCACCGCTGGGTCTCGGAATGGGCCCTGGTGAAGCAACAGTCAATGTTGAGGTCAAGTTCTGGCTTGCTTGCGTGAAAAACAAGTATATACTTCTTCTTCTTCAGCTTCTTCTTATTATTATTATCATTGCTATTAATATTATTATTTTCACAGTAAAATACATCAAGTGCTATACAGCATACTATGAGGCCACAGTCTTATGCTGCTAGAGAACTAAGCTGCAACGACAAATGCTACTCTCTGACCTTGCCATTCCAGTCTGGAAAACAGCTAAAAATCAAACTCCACAAACATGGCAAAAATATAGAACATCTCTCGTATAATCTACTGACACAATCATAACAAAGCAAAGTGTTCACAAGATTAATTAGAAGATTACAGCTTACTGAAAGAACTTGAACAGTTGAGTGACAAGAAAAGACGTAGAATACAGATTTTAAAACTCTCTATCTCCCGGGGGGGAACGCACAACGTCGTGCCTCTTTTTTGGTACTAAATCTAAAAATGACAAAAACGTCATGAAACGGGTCATTAAATCAATTCAAGCAAATCTATTTTGATAGTTCTTCATCTAATGAATGAATTCCCAATACAAGAGACTTGTTTTCGGCAAGAGCCGAAAAGTAATTTAATGTCGAAGTCGTCGTACAGGAATGTGCCCAAACCACTGCCAGTGGCTCACTAGCACAGCAGTTCCGACCGCGAGCCACTGGGAGTGGTTTGCCAGAGATAGGGTTAAAAGAGCGTGGGAGCTAATAAATGTGTGGTGCGGAACCATGACCTATATCGTCTGGTTAAGATCCAACACTTGAAGAAGAAGAAGATTAGTAAGCTGTATACAAGAACGTATACCTGAGGTAGTGCAGACAGAGGCGGTAGTGTTTTGGGGATCTGAGAGTTGTACTTGACCCAAGCAGGATCAAATTCAGCTCCTCGTTTCTTGGACGTCTTATGGGAGAGAGGCCGAACGTTGCGCAGCAAATATTCAGTTTCCGTCGGGTACCTGGGGACCATGTAGTTTATGTGATTTCTGTATTCACAAGAATTGTTTAGCTCCTCTTCAAAAGGTTCAAACAATTATAATGAAAAGTAATGCTTTACTCACGCTTACAACTCCAAGATTAGAAACACTGATAAATACATTTCCTTTGTCAAGTATAGGGTTCTTATTTTTGTAGATTGAGTATTTGAGTAACAAAGGTCAATTTCACTAAAAGTTTTTTCAGTCTCAGAAAAGATATGAATACTCATGAATGCGCAAACACATACAGATATATCATCCACACATGCAGGGCCAGATTTAATCTCTGGAATGGGGGCTGTAACAGGTCACTTTTGAAAGATTACGGTTGTATGTATTTTCATGTTAACAGACTGAATCGATAACAATATTATGTCAACAAAAAGTTAATTTGGGCTTGTCCACCACTCAGATTAGTCAGGATACAGCCCAGCCCTACCCTGTCATACAACTTGCCCTCCACATACAAATACACACACACACATACACATACACACACACACACACACACACACACACACACACACACACACACACACACCATCTCCTCTTCTCAATGTTGAGACAAAACAGCATTCAAAAACACAGACTGACTTACGGTAAGAATGGGGAGTTGTAAATGCCTGGCATGACCTCTGTGCTGACCAGGTAATGGTGTCTCCGAGCCTCCATCTTCCTGTGCTCCATCTCCTTCTTCTCCTCCTCTCGTTTCCGGGTGGCTTCCTGCTGCTCGGCATATTCTGAGAGCTCAGACCTATAAACAGAAAAAAAGGGGTAAAATAAGACACACTATCATCAAATTTTTAAAAATGTTCTCAATTTTACATTTGATAAAAACCATGCAAAGTTGTGGTACTGGAGCATTAACCTATCTTGTACATATTTTCTCTATCTATGATAGGCAAATCAGTGCAAAATGAAATCAACTTCTCCAAGTAGTTACTAATCTGGAGATATTCACTATCCTATAATACTATAAAAACAATTTTCAATCTGAGAACAAGCAGCTAAAACCTCAAATAAACAATTTCTGTGACCATAGTACAACAGCCTAATCGATCTCAAAGTTTTCAATGACATGACAAAAAAATTGCATTTTTCTTACAAATGAGTTCAAATGAGCAGGTTTTATAGACTCTAGACATTATTTGGTCTTTAAAAAATATAAAAAATGACTGATTATTACAGTTTATCACAGACGTATCTAAAACTTTTCAGCATTATAGAAGGGCAAACCTCGAACAAACTTACCTTATGATTTCATTCTTCACTTGCAGAGCCTCCAAATATCTCTTCCGGCTGTAGTAATTAAACACATACTTCCTCACATAGTAACCTCTCCAAACTTTTTGTACCTGTAATGAAAGGTTTTTTTAAGTTGCAGGGACTGTAAGCTTAAAGGGTCTCTGTAGTTTGTTCACACACAGTGAGAAACATTAATGTTATGGAAAATTACTGTCATCAATTATATTGAAACCAAAGGCAATAAGTATTGTATTAAAATAATAGAGGTAACAAGATATTTCTTTACTATAGCTATGTCTTTACATATTAATGCCCAACGTCATTTTAGCAGTAAATTGCTTTATAGAGGCATAATGACCTTTGATTGCAACGATATTATCAACAGTGACAGACACAAGGATCAAAGATCAGAAACTAAGGGAACCAACATTTTGGCAGAACCAAATATCAACCCAGAAGAAGGAAATGCCCATAACTCATGTGAAGACACCACTAAATATACCAACTACTATACAATGTAAGGAAGCTGCCACAGCCTTTTATCACAGAAATGTGACATGTGCAAGAAAGATAACAAACAAAAAAATAACAACCTTGCAAGCCATAGCATTGTAGTGGTTCAACTTCATTATGAAGACCGTGTTCTGAAAAAGAAAACAATTCTTAATTTAAATTTTACAATAAATAACATTATCAACATTTGGTAAAGAATTAAGGAAAAAAAACAATGCTATTGAAGAGTCTACATAAATTAGGTAGAGCTTTCAAGCATGCCACAAGTTTTTAGTATTTTCTCGAAATCACAACACACTCGCAGTGCTTTAACAATGTTTCATCATAATGGAAGACACTAAGAATCATATAGCCACAAACTTCTCTTTCATGATACCATAAGAAAAAGGCCATTATATCCTGTTGGATTAAAATGAACAATAAGCCCTAAACGTAAGCACTTTTAAAAGTCATAAACAAATGCAAAAAAATCATGTCACTCCTAGATAAAAAAAAGAAGCTCAGTCCACTGAAATCTTCACTGTTTACCTTCAGAAGAATCCTGAAAAATCTTCGTCCTAAAAAGCCCCTCCATCGCCTTTGAATTGCTGTAGCACACCTGTTAGTATGTCTGATAGAAAGGAATGAAACATTTAAATCATAAGTATTTTAAAACAAACTGTGACCTATGGCAGTGACAATACTTCTTAAAATCTAAAGAACATCGAATTATATTATTAGTCAAGAATGCTACACCACTAATTATTGCATTTTACTTAGTTATAAAAAGTAGGCAAACAGAATGCCATAAAAATGGATCAGTGGTAAAAGTTTCAAGGTTTGAAGCATCTTTAAAGTTACTAATGCAGGGCAAAATTTAAGAATAGATTAAGTTCCGACTTCCTGGGTGCTGTAAGAATATCAGGGACATAGTTTTCCAACCATCCAAAAAAAGGTTTAAAAAAAAGAGGTTTAAAAAAAAAGTTTTGAAAAAAGAACTTCAACTCCTCTAATTACTCATTTTTTTCCTGAGTTATACTTTAGAACTCACAAGAATATGTAAGAATACAAACTCACTTCAAATAAGAACGAACCCTGGTGGCTCGAAACCATGACTGAATTTTCACAGCATTTGAGTACTCAATCAGTCTGGCAGCTTCTGCATCACTGAAAACGTAATATAACATTACCATTTTAAAATTATTGATCATTTGCTTGTCAAATCACAACAGAGATATCAACTTGAATGACAAGAGACACCTCTGAGACAAACTAGGATTCTTGTCAACAAATACAACCCATGTCATTCTTATGAGGATAAGAAGAATTGTATTCATTTCATTTTTGACATGTAGATTTAATTGAATACGTAGATCTAGATCTAGCAACCAAAGCGAAAATTGCCCAGCCCCCATCACGTAACAGGAGGAACATAGATCTAGTACATTCTTCTTACCTTAAGTTTTAGCTTGATTATCAAAAAAGGAGACAAAATGCACAACTTAGAAATCTATTGCTAATTTAAATCATTTACATTTTTCAATTTCAAAACTGCTTTTTTTTTTTTTTAATCTTGATGATATTCAATCATATTCATCCCAGTCAAAACAAATCACGTAGATCTAGCCAATACCACGAACTGTCCGGACTCTTTACTAAAAGTCAGAAGTGAAATTTACGTAAATTACAGGTTAATAAAGAAAAAATACAACACATCTTAACTGAAAATACACTCGTACTTCTTTTTGTCATATATTTCAGCGATAATTCCATCTGTTTCGCCCAATAAGCGAACCATAGCCGCCATCTTGTTTGTCCATCACCAAGGACCAGGGTTGCCAGTACCGTCGTCTTCTTTCCTTCTTGTGGGATGGTTTACCTGGCCATCGCGTACTTCAAAAATTAATTTCCTTTTACTCAGTAAATTACGTCCTGCCTGTCGCACGGGCTCATCAGAAAATTTTGTAAACCAATTTTCTCCACTCTCCAAGATCATTTTCGAGATATATATTAAGTTATTACTGCTTGTTATAGTATATTCATTGCGTAGGCCTTTTTTTTTTCCTGTTATAAATCATTCACGTAATGATTCAGATTCTACATTTTTGTTGAAGTGAAACAAAAACCAGAGCTGAGAGCACATCCAAAAAGACAACTTTAAAAATTAATAATTATTCACCTATTTCAATATTCTTTTCACAAATTGCAGCTCTAATTATAATCAATGAGCTACAATTGGTAATTGAGGGGGTTCAGACATCGTTACATTTGTATTACCAACTAATTACAACCAGGCATTTGGGAAATATGCCTGTATAGGCTATTTCCGCTAGTCTCTTAGCAACTATTTACATCATGGCGGCTTCTTTCTAAGTTTTCTTGTTTTGCGGTTCGTGGTTGCTGTTTCTTGTTGTATACTTTCAACAGAGCCATACACCATGACCCTTTTTATGCCACCGATTCAACGAAAGAAAAAAGTTGATGAAAAATACAAGTTAGTTACCGTAATTTGTGTTCTCTTTGTCGGCTGTTTTAAATCGATAAATCTTTGTAAAGACTTGATTGACTTGATCTAGAAATCTTGTTCAGTAGTAGATCTATATTGTAGTAATATGTAGTACAGTATCATTAGATTTATATGTAGATTGTATTTGGGATGCCTGCCATTGAGCTGTGTGTATATATTGTGTATGTGTGTGTGTGTGTGTGTGTGTGTGTGTGTGTGTGTTAGCAGTAGGCCTCTACCGCCGTCTATCTGCTCAGAATGTGTGTGTGTGTGTGGGAACATGCGCGCACTGGCATCCCATAATCCATGTTTTTGAGTAGTGTCATGCTTATTGCTATTATGAAAAGGTTCCCTATCCACAGTAAATCAAACATCTGATTAATATCCGTGCTTGTTTATAGGATATATAATATATATGATTCAGGGGGGGGGGGGGTGTTGCTTTTGTTGTTGTTTTTTAAAATTATTTTGTGGGTTTGGGTTTTTTTAATACATGAGTACCAGTACATGAGATAGATAGTGAGCAAGAGAGTGAGAGAGAGAGATCAGAGACAGAGAGAGAGAGATCAGAGACAGAGAGAGAGAGAGATCAGAGACAGAGTGAGAGATGAGAGACAGAGACAAAGAGAGAGAGAGAGAGACAAAGAGAGAGAGAGAGAGAGAGAGAGAGAGAGAGAGAGAGAGAGAGAGAGAGAGGAAAGAGAGTAGGCCTATATGTGTGTGGTGAGGGGAGGAGGTAGAGAAAAAGTAGAGGGGATGATGAAGCATTTGATTATACCTATGTGTATTACCTTTTCAGTTTGGTTAGGTTGTGAACTCTAGAAAGTACTTATAAAATCCTTATCTCAGGGCCTCTTAACCAGTGGCTCTCCCAGTGTGCTGCCTGAAGTGGCTCGGCACAGTCCTTTACGGCGGCATTGACTCATTGACATATCATTTTTTTGGCAGTATCCAAAAAGAGCTGGGTCTCTTGGAAGTTGTTTCATTAAATGAAAAACTATCAAAATAGTATCATTTGTTTTTATGCGAAATTAACAATTTTGACATTTATATCACTTTAAGGTTTCTTACCAAAAGAAGACTCTGGCATTGTGGGAAAACCCCTTTTTTGAGATAAAGTGTTAAAATCACATATATGAGATACATTTTATAATTGACTTTTATATGATTGTTATTATTATTATCATTTTTAAAATTTGTAGTATAGTAGTATTTTTGTTGCTATTTTTATTATTATGTATATTATTACAGTTGGGCACTGATAACACAAACACGGAAAACTAAAAAATTTTGGATAAGCTAGGCTTGTACAATTTGCTATTTCACGACTGATATCTAAACTCTGCATATATTTTTCTGTTATTGGTTAACCCAAATTATTAATCCGTCACGTGTCTGGGTTATCAATGCCATACTGTATTATTATCATTATTGTTGTTGTTGTTTGTTGTTATGTTGTTATTGTTTCGTCATTGTATTATTGTTATTATTATTATTATTATTATTATTATTATTATTATTATTATTTTATGATTATTATTTTTATTCTATAATTTTATATTTGATTAATATTATCATTATTATTATCATTATTATTCTAGAATCACATTATAAGTCAGCCATTAAAAACCTCAATATATGTTGTTGTAAGTCAGCCATGAAACCTCAGTAAATGCTGTTCTTTTAAATGTAAAACTATCCACTTTTTATTTTTTACTGAAAATAAACAGTAACATAAACACCTAATGGCTGCAGTATCATATATTGCCATTGTTTTGATAAATTTTGATTCTTTGGTATAAATCTTAATGCTCCTTTTTTTTTTCAGTCCTGACTCTTTTCGGGTCATCAGTGAGGACGCTGTGTCAGATCATCCTAAATACAGACCCCTACCATACAGAGCATCGTTTGAACCTCGAACACCAACTCCAAAGGCCCCCCAAAGAAACAATAATGCTTCAGAGGGAGAGCCATGTGTTGCCCCTGTTCTGGAGCCTGTCAGGGCTCTGAAGAATACCCGAGTGTTGCCTCAGATTCTCCCTGATTACAGAGCTAACAAACCTCAAGCTCGTGCTTGCGGATTTCTTGACAGAAACGTTAGATTTCTGAATGAACCAATTTGTAATGTGAGTATTTTTTTATTTTTTAAAACACTTTTCACATGTGTAGCATGGAGAATACGCAACACTTATGCCCATGGACAAGGATACAGGTGCGGTACATGCAATTCACGCCGTCTGCGATCAGCATCCCATGGGGGCATATACAGAGTGTTAACCATTAGTTTTCTTTTTACTTTTATGTAACAAATTTTTCTTTCAAAATACGCTAAGAAGGTGAAGATTAATTATTAGCAAACCAATCTGTAATTTGAGTGTATGGTTTTTACTTTGTTTTAATCCTTATTTTTTCACAAGTCTGTAACAAATTTTATTTTAAAAATAAATAAATTTAAAATGTTAGGGAATCAAGAACTTATACTGTTTTACACACAAATGTATGCAAATTATGCTGTTCCTGTGAGTGCTTAGGAAGTGCTAAATCTTATTGGGACAAGAGTGGGTGCACCAGGAAGCCAATGGTGGAAGAGCCGTGTTCTAACTTTCCCACTTAATATATCTTTCCTTCTCTTCATTACTTTTAATGTTAAAGAAATCCTGGTAAGGCTATTTCATTCTGTTCTAGAAAAGTTTGTGTACCTTTTACCAATTCAATCATAATTGTAGTCATTATACCACAATCATAAATGCATATATTGTACATGCAGTAATTAGCTTTTCTGCTTAGAATTTGTTTTGATAAATAGTGTGTGTTATAATGGGATGTAAACAGGTTCTAGACGCTTTCTATAGTCTTACACTATGAAATAATGCCTCGCAGTTCTATGAAAGACAATATTGATATCAATAGCCTTGATAACCTTTCTTTCAGGTGTATACAAAGCCAGTTCAGCATGAGGAAAAGCAATGGTGGCCAACGCGGCCAAATCCTGGAGACTTACAAGTACCGCCATATGCCGAAGACACTCACTACAGAACTGATTATAACAATCGCCACGGGGAGAGACCTGATGGATCAGGAAGACACACTTCCAATGTACATAGAGACCCTGCTTTAGGCACAGGTAAGAAAGAGAGAGAGAAAGGATATAACCTTACATAATAATATGTAAATATTGTCCTTTCCTTGAGGCTAATATATTATGGTGTTTCTTAAGGTTTATAGAATATGTTCACCTGTGGTTCTGAGCAATAACTTGCTGTCCCGGTGGTTTTATGCACCCAGCATAATTTAGCAAAATTTGATCATTTTTTGTGTAATTTCTGATTATTTTCCTTGATCATTCTTTGTTAATAATAACAGAATCGCATAATTTCACATTTTTGGGCTCAGTTTGCATAATTTCAGAATTTTACTTGCATAAAACGACGGGACAGAATAAGAAGGCACATAGGTTGGAAATTGATTGGGGGGGGGGGGG